TAACGAAGGACCTGACCGTAAAAAGCATTATAACCAACAGAATTGTAGAGGAATTGTAAGAATGTCGCCGATAGTTTATTCTCAAAATTTAAGGGCCCTACCATACTATCATACTATGACTGTTGTCACCATGACTGTTGTCATAGTGCAGTCAGAACTCAGATGTAATCCCAACAGGCACGACATTCATGACCAGAGGCACGTAGTGTGTTTAGAGGGCGTGCCAAGGATACGTGACAACTCCCGAGGCATGTCAGGCACGTCTTTCAAAAAGCCGTACCTAGCTAAAAATCCGTGCCTGACGTGACTGCAGGCACGGTCTGTTTAGTACTCGTGCCAACTGTCATGGATAACGCGACGTCACGATTACCTTATAAGGTCAATATTTTACGTGATATGGACATTGGCAGTACAAAGTGCAAAGATAGTACAGACAGTCTCACTAAACTATATAAAAAATAAATATAAAGAATAAGGAAAAGGAACGGGAATGAAGCCAATACCAGAGGTGAAACCCAGCCAAAGAATAATTGATCCTTAGGTAGACCTGGTGAAATAAAGTAACTGAACTGTAAGTATAAGAAAAGACGGAAGGAATAAAGGAGAGAGGAAATAATGTTATGTGAACATCATCAGCAGATGACTTGGCACACCGGTTTCGGGGGTTTAACACCTGTACCGGTTTAATGTGCCAAGACCCCCTAGCAATCACTCGTCAGTGATCACCTATCCACGTTAAATGTGATGTCAAGGATGTCGCTGACATCAAGTATACTGTATTTGTACAGAATACTAGGTCGGTCTTTCAGAAGCTTTCTGAATTTACTCTTCAGGAGTCTGTCATTATAACATCTTGAAAGAAGTGTCCTATAAAGGGTGTTGGTAGAACACAGCAAAGAATTAAGGTCAGAGATAATGGAAGAGTAACGAAGGACCTGACCGTAAAAAGCATTATAACCAACAGAAGAGGAAATATTTCTGTTAGGAAAGGTGTACATGACCACAGGAAAGTTGAAGTCATCAAGTTTGTTGTAAAGCTTGGTGGCGACGTGTCCGGAGTTATTCATCGAGATGTTGATGTCGAGATAGTTTACGGACTTATTGTCGTCACCACTCCTCTCCATAAGCAGGTCAGGTGGATAAATGGACCTGATTAGGTTGGAGAAATGCAAATAGTTCATGGTGTTGAGGTCGTCGACATATCTGCAGTTTCTTGAGAGGAGCTTAGCGAGACCGAACTTCTTTTCTTTGATTAGGCGTGTCATGTAGTTGAATTCACACTTCCCTAGCGAAAGATCAGCGAACTGGCTACTAGAATTCCCTCCCATGGGAATGCCTTTCGTTTGCCTTAAAATCTGATCCCCAAAACAAACAAAAGTGTTAAACAGAAATAAATGTAATAGCTGTTTTGAGTTTATCAGCAGAAAAACATAAGTATCCGTTATATTCCTTTTTAGAGAAAAAATTGTTGTTATTATAGAGAGAAACACAAATAAATTTATTCGTATTACTAAAGAGGAGCTCTATTAGCTCGAAAAGCAGTGACTGTACAACCTGAAGGTCTAGATTGGTATACAGTCGTATACCTGCATATTAAAAATCTCTAGTCTAGGCAGCCTTTGTTGTAGATAGAGTTGCAGTATTTGGAAAAGTATCCGTCTGAAAAAATCGATCTACTGACACAAGAGGCTTCCAAAGGATTTATGACGTTTTTAGGTTCAATTTTTAGGTTTCATTCGGCTGACCAACTTTTCCAAACTTTTCCACTTGTCCTAAGGCCACTTTTTGCCACTTTTGCCACGTTCTACCTCTTTTCTTATTTGTCAAATATCTTCAGCTGTGAACATCGTAGAAGGTTAAGAATTAATCGAGGGTGTTTATCTTATCGACGAGAAAAACTTTCGTCGGAAAAATGTTCATGTCAGACAATCAGATAATTGGATAATTACTAATTAGCTAATTAGTAATTACCAAAAATCATAAAAATGTTTATTGGCTCAAAATGATCGGTTTTTCTTGAAAGGTAGTTTTTAGAAAAACTTTTCGAAAACTTAAAAATATCTTTTTTCGCCAAAAGTTTTTTCGAAGCTCTAATGAAAGCATTGTGTTTGCTGTCGTCTGTGTGATAACATACTCCACTGAAAGATGTGATATCAAATATTTTTTGATACCGTATTGAGAATTGAGATAGTATGCTCCTTAGATTCTGTGTAAGTGTGTTAAGTCGGTTTCTAAAGTAAACACACCTAGGGAGGTAGTGGACGGTTTAGTTTGCGGAGGTAGTGGACGGTTTAGTTTGCGGAGGTAGTGGACACTGGACGGGTTAGTTTGCGGAGGTAGTGGACGGTTTAGTTTGCGGAGGTAGTGGACGGTTTAGTTTGCAGAGGTAGTGGACGGTTTAGTTTGCGGAGGTAGTGGACGGTTTAGTTTGCGGAGGTAGTGGACACTGGACGGGTTAGTTTGCGGCAGGCACGTAGCCAGGGGGGGGCAGGGGGGGGGGGGCTGCAGCCCCCCCCCCCCCCCTCCCCCCCCGGAAAAAATTGAACCCAGAAAAAACAAGCCCCCTAGTCCCCATTACATGGTCGCCTGGTAACTGGGCTGCGTTTATGACTGCAGTCTGTACTGTTTAAACGGCAGGCAATTGACTTCAGCATTTCGTAAATTATTCCCAAATCCCACTATAATACATGTACTTATTCCATTCAATGTGGCAAGTACTGAGTTCGGTAGGGACTGGTATAGCATTTGCTTAGTGCTTAATTTCCAGCGAAAAATTAAAGAGCAGTAGTACCACTGGGAAATGTCAAAATCTTAAGACGATGAGGCCTGAGTAAATCGTAAATTCTGATTGGAGAATGCAGATTACTGTTGTGAAGTTACAAAATTTACGTGAGTACTTGATTCTTTTCAGTCCCAGTTTATTGCTGTCCCTTGGACCCCGCTGCGCCCCCACGATATGCTAACTAGTAAGTGTTGAATACGATATTCTAACTAGTTACTGTTGAATACGATATTCTAATTAGTAACTGTTGAATACGATATTCTAACTAGTAACTACTGTGTACGTACCATCATCATCAGTAGCAGCAGCTCCAGCGAAGAAGAGGGCTGTGAGGAAGATAACCATCTTGATCCCAGTCTGGGTAACTATGGTAACACGTCTGGGACTTGTTACCTCGGTAACTATCACGACTTGATAGTGGACTACTCCGGAGGTGGTTATCTAACTTTGGATAGCTTTAAAATTGTAAGCAGTGTCACAAACGAAGGAGAACCGTTGGCGTGTATAAGTATTGTGGCTACAAAGAGAGCATGCTCCCTCTTTCTAACCTTGTATTACGTGGTTGTCATGTGGAGGAAAAGGGACTAATGGCTCAACAAGCCCAGGTTTTATGTTATTGTTACTGAGAGTCAGTGAGAGCTGCTCTTTAATACGTCTGTATAAATCAAGAGGCTTGCATATAATGAACATATTGTATGGCATTATCATGATTATGCTCGATGATCTCAACCCGTGGGCCGTGCTAACCTGTGCTATTCAGCAGCTCATGCTAGAGAGTTGTACTATAGACTACTAAAGGTAGACCTGTAAAGGTAGATTTAGCAGTTCACCAGGCGCGCAGACTAATGAATCGCAAACATGGTTCTAGCTTTTTAAACAGTAGCTGAGATGAGAATCCCGGCTCTTTGGTTTACAAGGCCAGATAGTGTGGATAATGTTAGGGTAACCAGGGTTTCTTTCTCTAGCTGGTAGATTATGCATTGTTTTGAAAAAAATACCATGTTTTCGGACTACCAAAAGTTAATAGGTCACCGTCATTATTTTCCAAGCGTGCTACTGCTAAATCAAATTTTACAATCGATCTTCGAGATTGTTCTAAAAGAACCCCTGACATGGTTGAAATCTACTTGGTTCAATGTATTTTCGAAAGCTGATTCTGAATCACTTAACGGCCCGGGTGATACTCGTAAAATATTTGTTCCACGACCGTCGACGAGTCCAATTAACTCGGCGCGCGTTTTGGTAGGTTATACTTATAAACCTACAAGTACAAAGTACAACGAATTACCCCACACGACATAAAGTTAAATAAATACTCCCCTAGCGAGATATCGGCGAAAATCTGTCTCGATCATGTGATAATGATATGACTAGGTAGTGCGCTGGATTATGATAAATGATTCTATTCACCTATAAGCTAGCCATAATATATATTACTGGATGGGGCCTAACTTTGAAAGTAAAAGAGTTAGAGACTTCCGGTTTTTTGTAACATGTTCGTCTTGTAAAAGTTATTAGTAAGTCACGTGATAATTTTTGGGCGAGCGAATTAGTAAGAGCCCTAGTTGACATGCAGTAACTAACGGATTACGACATATATAAAACCAAGTACCTACCTCGCTCACCAAAAATCCACGTTTTTCTGCAAAAAAGTCCATTAGTAATTTTTCACTATTGCCTTTTTACAAATAAAAAGGGTAAACGGAAAAAATACGTTTAGAAAGGAGCAGTGTTTCTGAAGTCCCTAGCGTATCGAGCAGAAAATGCCCGTAAGAGCTTCTACTAACGTGCAAATTAGGTAAAAAGCAAAAGATTGCAAAGTAACCCCAAAATTACTGGAAGTCCAAATCTTGAAGAAAATTTAAATTTAAAAATCATATTCAATATTGTCCCATTTGCAAATTTTGAAGATGAAATTTCCAGAACCGAAATTTTACAGTTTTTACTGAATTTCTCACCTGCAAACAATTTAATTAGTCAGTCAACTATAATTGGAATATGACACGATTGAGGTGCTGGAAGTTTTATTTCAGTTGGAAGAAGCTCACTGCATGCAGAAAGCTTAACAAAACGAAATTAAATTTCGTATTTTCCAATTTCTGTCCCATTTTCAAATATGAAAATTTCTGAACGCAATTTTGACAGATTGGATGGAGATTTTTCCAAGAAACCAATTATTCAGTTAATAGATGATGGTATGAAACCAAATTGAGGTACTGGAAGTAAAAATTGCGGTTCATAAGATAAATTACAAAAAATTCAATTGATTGCAGATTCAGTATTGTCATCAAAATAAGCTATATTTTAAGAGGTAACATGAAAACCACAAAATAACAGTAAGCACTAAAATAAGTAACACTACCGGTAAGTAATGAAGTGAAACTAAACAGAACAACTCTGTTTCACTTTCAGCTGAACAATAAAACTAGCCAATTTCTCTGTAACCTGCAAAACTGCTTAAAATGTTTACACAGTTTAGTTAAGCCCAAGAAGTCTTCAATCTTTGACCATAAAAACACATCAACTGCGGTAATTTAAACAAATTGTTCCACAGTATAACATCAAACGTTCCTCAGAACTCCTACTACAAACACTTACATTTACTGACAATCAAATCATCAAACTTTTTAAGCACAGTCACGTGATCACCACTCAACATTAGAGTAGCAGGCTTGTAAGTGGAAGGTACACAGCAGGGCCTGGCTACCGAGTCCGGGAATTTCTTGTACCAGGCCCCTCTAAAGAGAGCACTGGTTGAGTGGTCGATGGCATGGGACATAGGGTAGGGACACTGCCCCGCACACTGATTTATCTTTAGCTCTAGCGGGTGGATTATCTTACTGCCCCAGCCTAGTTTAGTGAAGTTTAAATACAGATCCATGAGGACACACCTATGTTGGAAGCCCCTGCTAGCTCGCACTCCCTGGTCTCCCTCCCCCGGGAGAGCGGCCTGTCTTCCCTCTTGGTTACTCCTCATGTACTCTCTAAAGGGCTTAGATGAGTTATTCACTGTGTACACCACCAGAGTTGGCTCCTTGCTCCTGGAGATGCTGAAGATAGGGGTTCTGCCCCCGTATTTGTCCAGGTAACCATGACTGAGCTGGGTGGTGATGGAGCAGCGCACCACGAAGTGGTAGAAGTGTCGGTAGGGGGTGAGGTTATTTAGGGTGCGTTCTATGGAGCTTACTTTGATCTTTATCCACTGTCCAGTGTCTGACTTCTTCAGCTGAGGTACATGTGTTGGTTAGAATCGTCTTTTTGGACTTTATTTGGGCGGAAATTGCGAGAACGGATATAATTGAATTATGGACGCAACAATTTCTTTGGAAACACATGGTAAGATTCATTTTCAATCTGGACGTTTCATTCAAACTATAAGAAAACAAATTCTCAGCAAATTGTAACATTTCCATGCCTGTTTAGTATGTCTCCAAACCCTTCCTTTCACCAGTAAAACATCTGAGCGGTCGTATATTCTCGTTTTACAGGTCGTTTTCAATGTTACGGCTGTAACGGAGCCCTCTTTTGTTAAAGGTATACTCTCACTTATATCGCCCACAAATACTCTCAGATTTGAAGCTGAAATGTGTGAGTGTTTAATCAACTGGAGTTTCACTTTTTCGATAGGATTCTTAGCTAGCACGTCGATACGACGAAAATTGTGGTTTAATCTTAATCTCTTCGCAATCTCTTTAGCATCATCAATAATAATTGCATTCATCTTAAATCCCTTCTCGTGATCTTCTAACCAACTGCAATTATAAGTTTTGTACTATATATTCCTTATTTTTAATTCTCTCACCTAAGATTCTATCCTCTCTGTTAAAAGCTGATATATTAAAATCCAATTTCGCTTTTTGTGGTAAATAGAAACCTTCCAATTCTGTCACACCTGAAGATGTAAAGTGTTTTTAGTATATAAATATAAGTTCTTTTCAGTAATTGAATAGATTTTTTTACTAAGTGAATAGTTTTTTTTAGAAATTAAATAAGTTTTCTCTACTAATTCAATGTGTGTTATTGTAGAAGTCAGATGCATTTTCTTTTAAATAATCAAACTTGCATTATTTACTAATCAAATAAGTGTTATTTTTTGTTTCAGTAAGTAAATGAATTTCCCCGAGTAACTATGGTCCTTGTTCAGGTAATTACATGAACTACAATAGAAGTCTCCAATGGTTCCCACAACCAATAAACCGCACCTAACCTTATAAGGCTTCTTAATTAAAATCTGCTGAGAGTTCAGTTTTAAGGCTTCTCCAGCAATAGGAGCTGCATCCCTCTGTAACCATGGTTATTGTAACCATGGTTATTGTAACCATGGTTATTGTAACCATGGTTATTCATATTGTAACCATGGTTATTCATATTTTCTTGAATTACTTTACACTTAAGTAATGATTTATAAACTTGCTTGACACCAACACATGAACTTTCAAATGTAACGAGTTGATTGATTTGGATGTGGGACAGCAAATTGGTGGTATAAAATAATAAGAGTCATGCTCGACTATAAATACAAATCCTTACGCTCCCGTAGAGCGATCGATTGTTGATAAGATATCTCTTGGATTGCAAGGGCGAAACTTTTTAATTCGGAAATTACATCTCCATTGCCCTGGTTATTGTGCTTACCATGGTTAACGATGCATTATTTCAGTAACATACAATATTCATGTGCTTCACATATATGTCGCTACCATAGCCTTATCATGTATCAACCCTGCTTATAACCATAATGCTTATAATAACCACAATAAGTTTCATGTGTCGAACACTGGTCAAGTCTCGAAATAATTTTAGACGGCAACATTTAGGTCAATAAGATAGTAGATACGGGCTCTGTATTTATCCTCCATACTGTTTTACTTAGTTACTATAAGTTATGCATCCCAATTAACTTTTTTACACGCGTGTTTATTACATATGATTCTGTACACGTGACGGATGTTGCGCCTTTCATCTACCTTAATAACATCGCGATAATTCATTATATTCACAATTATAATCACTGGTCTAATTTATTGGCAATTGACAGAAATTAGTGATTTCCTCCTCACTTAAACAAATTGGACCGCACAATCAAACAATTGACAAGTTGTAGTATACACCTAACCTGTTTTACTTTTAGTATATTATAGTATACAAGTGCGAGAACATGTTTGTTATCGGCGCGGTTTTTCAATTATTTTAATCTTGGCAAGGATGGATATCCCGATCTTCAAAATACCTTTTCATACAAAATAGATACAATTCACTTTGCAGAGACTCAACGAGGTGATTGATAAAATTTTGTTTAACAAATGTTTAGTAAAATGTGAATATCTTGTTAGTGTTCTCCTCCCCATCCTCCCCCTTCTCACCCTCCTCATCCTCCTCCCCCTCCTCCCTTCCTTAATCCTTAACCCCTACTGTACCTGATCTGTAAAATTTGAATATCTTGTTAGCGTTCTCCTCCCCCTCCTCCCCATCCTCCCCATCCTCCCCCTCCTCCACATCCTCCCTCATCCCTTCCTTTACCCCATACTGTACCTGATCTGTAAAATTTGAATATCTTGTTAGCGTTCTCTTCCTCCTCCTCCCCTCCTCCCCCTCCTCACCCTCCTCCCCCTTCTCACCCTCCTCATCCTCCTCCCCCTCCTCCCTTCCTTAATCCTTAACCCCTACTGTACCTGATCTGTAAAATGTGAATATCTTGTTAGCGTTCTCTTCCTCCTCCTCCACTTCTCCGACTCCTCTGTTGAACTTGTTGTAGAGCTCTATCAGATAATCCGGGGCTGATACCTCGTTATCACTGGGATAGTCACGTGTTATCACTAGGGTAGTCACGTGTTATCACTAGGGTAGCCACGTGTTATAAGGATATATCTTGTAAACCTGGCTAGTATATATGAAACATTTGATATGGAGTTGTAGAGGGAGTTATGTGCCTCGCCGGGCTAAAGTAGTGGATGACCTTGCTGTACGGCAAGTTAAACAAGGATCTGAAACTACTAGGTTCCGTACAGACTCAACTCTGCACCCGTGTCAATATGTTCATTATATGCAAGCCTCTTGATTTATAACGGGATAGTCACGTGTTATCACTAGGGTAGTCACGTGTCGTCGTAATTGAATGGTGAGTTTAAAACAGGTAAAATAATGATATGAAATTTTAGTTTTAACTCTTACTTCAGAGCTTCAGCGTTACTGAGCGTTAGTTGAACCGTATAACGATTAGCGGGTTTTTTTGGCCAACATTTACGATTTCTATCCGGTTTTCAGAAAATAGCCCCCAAATCGGCCGAACAGTTATAACTTTTTGATCAACATTTTGTTTGTTGATAGTTGAGTTTGACTAAGCTCGCTTTTGATTTGGATATAGAACAAAATGAAATTGCATCATATGTATAACGATCAGTTTGAAATGCTATATCTATCCCGAATATGCCTTGGTATAACTATTATATCAGGAGGAAGTTTCTTTCGTGAATTCTCGTCAACCCCTTAACTACACATGTTTTTGTGGAAATCATGCATTGTCTCAAAAACTGCGAACTAGAGAGGAACTAACAATAATTCCTTGATAATCAAACTTCTGAGCGTGAAAAAAGAAAGTAATGATTACCCTCCACAGTCGAGATGTGTGAAGCTACTGAGGAAGATAACGAAGCTGCAGAGCAAAGTCCTGCTCGATCCCTGAAGTGACGTCATCTTCTTTCTTGTCACGTGTTAAGTGAGCTGTAATATCTGTTACCTTGGTAACGAGCACGTGCTGTGTGTGCAGTAAGTTGTCGCGTGCTTTATCAACGTTGAATTATCTGAATTAAACTGCAACACTGGATCCTGGAATAACAAAAACTCATGTCAAACTCAACAGATGTCAAACTGATTTGATGCCCTGGAAACATGTTACCATGGTAACTTGTACACGGACATAGGCAATTTCCCTCGCTATTGTGAACCAATCAGATTGCTCTATTCAGCTCAGGGACGTGTCACGTGGTGAGCTCAAAGTAATTGAAATATAGACTCTGTAATGATTTATGTGTCCTATTTCCTTGGTAGCTAGAGTTTTATTAATGCGATGGAGAGGGGGGTTGTGATTTAAACAACACGCGTATGCAGTGCCCCACTCTGTACCTAATACAAGCTGTGATAGAGTCCAGCTGATCTTTAATCGAAATCAGCTACACTGTGATTAATAATTATCTGTTTTATTTGCCAACATCTGAATGGATGAGTACCGTATTACTAATACTACTTAAATTTAATTATTGAAACGTTGTGTACTGACGGAGTGATTGTAACTGCAGTTAAAACAGGAAATTGGAAAAAAATGCAGAAAACTGAAAAAAAAACTGAAAAAAATGCTGAAAAGTGGTGAAAAATGGGATTATGTCTAAGGTTTACCTTCGATTTTGATCCAACTGTTCGATTTGAAATTTAAACTAACAAAGCTACATTTTTGTAACCCTAACCAAATTTATATAAATGGAAAAAAACCCTAACATAACATGTAACATAACATTAACATGTTACAGCTTTACAGTATCTAAAAATGTCCACTACTTAACAAACTGAACCGATCTAAATCAATTTTGAAGGGTTGGAATTATATCAGTTATTGCAGTCACATGCTACAAAATTAATGTGAAACCTATCTAAATAGATAATTGACAATTAGTATTACACGTTTTAAATTATAAGGTGACGTACACATTACAATTCTAGGCAACAAAAACATAATTAGAAACCAATATGTTATTTATATATTTATAAAATAAAATCTAAACCCTAACTTCATAAAAACGAACCTCTCCATTTTCCAGATGTTACGAATGAAGAAAATGAATGAAGAAAGAAGGCGTTAAAACGACCAGGGAATTCAGAAAGTAAAGCCTGCGACTGGTCTAGTACAGTATATGAAACTAGCCTACAAGCAATAGTATGCAGTAAGCCCTCGTCTGTCAATATACTAACTCACTAATATACGATAACAAACTGATAGGATGATAGGAATACTTCTCATACAACACCCGTGATGTCACGTAGCTAATCAGCACTCCGGCTCTAATAAACCTAACACGTGACACGCACGTGGTAACACGCTGTAACACGTGGGCGCGCTCTCTTATCACGTGACCGCGAGGTTTAGTGGTTCGGTTAATTAACGATACGTTTTAATGTCCTGTAGACGAGCTCTTGTGGTTCATCGGGCGACTTGGGTTTATAATGCTTTTAATTACAGCCAACTAGAGTAATTGGGAGTACTGCTACAGTTTGCTAATATAAGAATATAGCAGTAATTATTAATTAATGTGCTACCATAAACATAAACTTTTTATGACTGAGGTCTCGAGTAACAGTGCTACAGTAGCCAGTACGTAACTCTAACAATAAAATCATCATGGCAACACGTTAGTCGTTACCATAGGAACACGTTACCATAGCAAAATGCTGCCATATTTGATAGCAATAAGATACCGCAACATTAACATGTTTGCATAGCAAAACGTTACGTAGCAAAACGTTACCGTAACTATGCGTTACCGTAGCATCATGCTACAAAAATTGTTGTTGCAGTGATGCGTATAAGTGAAATTCAAAATGTTAAAGTTTCTAAAAACTTACTTGTAATCAATATAATATGTTACTTTCAAGCAAATCTTCACGACGAATTAAAATCGATATTTGATTTTTACTTTCTAACGTCCAAGAAATTAAAAAACAATTAGAAGAAAAAATGTGTCAGGGCATGGAAACTTAACTATTGATAAAATTAAAAATGTAAGATCTGGAAATAACAAGGAGATCAGGGAAATCACGGAAATCAGCATGTTAATATCCTGATTGGGAGTATTTGTTCTGTCGAGGCGTGTTCTTATAAGTGTCTCATTGTTATAGCGACTCATTGTTATCTGTATAGCCACACACCAACCATTACTATTGTATTTCTTTGTATAATTGTTAATTAACGAAATTTATATCGTAATCCCGCGACGAGCTGATGGACTTTTATGGTTGTCAGTGTTATAAAGTTATAAGAATCTTGTAAGTTGTAACACTGAAAATTAAAAATCGCAGCTGTAGCTCGTCATTTTGAGATTCAAGCAAATCGAGGGTATTCAGAAACTGCAGGAGGTTCAGCTTGACAATATAGCGCGGTGGAAATTATTTCATAGGATAAATACAAGATACAGACGAGTAAGATATACTGCACTAGATTTCATATTTAAAACGTTGCAGTCAGCAGTTGTTAACTGTAGAAAGTTGTGGAGAATTCAATAAAATTTCATAATTTCACAAAACATTGTACAAAACTTTATGTTTTACTTTTACAACCATTATTTTAAGAAAAAAAGTAATTTGGGGATGATCATCCATTAAAACCTAACAATATTGTGCCAAATCAATTATAAAATCTCACTATACTGTGCTGACTTTAATAAAGCAGTAAAATTTAAACTGCTAATAAATCTCGGGGTTTTGTAACCCTCGGCCAAGTAAATCCTCCTTAATCCAGTTTATTTAATAAACTGTTTTTTAATAAACTGTTCACAAACACATAAATGTGTGATGAAATAGAATCGTAAGTATTCCGATAAATTTTCATCACATCATCATTAACAGTTCCAGGCCTTATAGCCCTCGTATAAAAACGAATCCTTGTGTTTGAACTGCGTTACAGATACATGACGTCAGTTTCCCTCATTTTTTAGTTTTAAAGTGAGCAGCAATTCGAGCTAAAAGTAGGGGTTGTCTTCTCTTAACCAGCCAGAGGAGAGAGTGAGGGAAGTAACCAGGACCCATGCTGACCTAGGGGAACGTTATATTTATACACTTTCACTGTCACTTTTACTTTCACTTTCACTTTCACTTTCACTTTCACTTTCACTTTCACTTTCACTTTCACTTTCACTTTCACTTTCACTTTCACTTTCACTTTCACTTTCACTTTCACTTTCACTTTCACTTTCACTTTCACTTTCACTTTCACTTTCACTTTCACTTTCACTTTCACTAATACTGACCTGGGGGGAACATTATAAACGAAAATCTGAATTTTATTTATAAACAAAGTCGAGACTACTATGAGTTACCTTGGAAACGAAAACAAGACTACATTGAGTTGGATCGTCAGGTAAAGACTCTACGATGAAGCCGCTCACATCCACTGACAACCTGAGGTCAATTAAGTAATTAAGTAATTATGTAATTATGTAATAATGTAATAATGTAAAAAATTATGTAAGTTAATACAGTAAAACCCCTATTAACAGTACAGTTTTGGTAAAGGAAATTAGTATTGTAAATCAGGGTGTACGGTAAATTTGGGTTTTGACTTTTGAATGATGTTCGTCTTCTTGAAGAACTGAAAGTGAAACATGCCTCAACTGGAATGCTATCAATATTTGTTAAATCCACTGGTGTTGTTTGTGGATTGAGCAGATTAGAGAAGTGCTCTGCCCAACTAATTAAGAATTAAGTTACAAGTTTTAATTGATAATTAATAATAATTAAATAAATAAATAGTTAATTAATTAAATAATAATAATAATTAATTTTTTATTTTTTATCAATAAACTTTCAAATTTTTACACAAATACATCATTTTATTTCAAAGAAAATATCGCCGAATGACCTTACATGCCTTGACAAGTGACCGAGTGTAAACAAAATTAGGGACACCGAAACACCAGTTGACCAGTAAACTGATCGCAGCAATTACATCGGGCCCTATATGCACCTATAAGTGAAGCGATGCTGCAACCAAGGCATGCTAGGTTTATTCCATTGAATTAATAAGGTTACAGCCTAAAATATAAATAATTAATTAAACAATTAATAATTATTATAATTCATAATAACTATAAGTTACCTGGTAATATCTTTATCAGGAGGACAGTTCGGATGAGTAATGCTCCCAGTGACCAACATGGCTTTTTTGTCCTGAAGAATCTTATTTTAGTTTTACATACTGATGCACTAGATTACACAGGCTTATTTTCCTGAATAAATGTACTTTTTTCTCAATGAGGTTAGAATTCGATAACCCAATGAATAAAAAAATATTAAAAATTCAACATGAAAGGAGCTTAAATCATTATCAACACGTTGCCATAACAACACCTTACCTTTCTGCAGACATATTGAAAAACACAGGCGTCTCTTTCATACTGTACCATTAGACAGTGTTTTGTCTTGAACTGCATATACACTGAAGAAGTTAGTAAGTAACCATGGTTATTAGAAGAAGTTGGTAAGTAACCATGGTTACTAAAAGAAGTTGGTAAGTAACCATGGTTACTAGAAGAAGTTGGTAAGTCCTTGCTGATGAGATGATCACTTTTTCTATAGAAAAGTTCTCGAGTTTTGGTTGGAGTTTATTGACTTAAAACAGAAAACAAGCTAGGTCCACAGTGTACATTAATAAGTCGTAACCATGGTAACATGACGAGAATATGATTGAAAATATGGAATTGTAAGTTGTAGCAAGATAAAATTGTACCCACATATCTGTAGATTCTCGTTGATTTCTTCGACCACCATGGCTTTATGGAGGAACTTGTCGTACTCAATTTTGTTGTTCAGATTGTTCAGGTAGTCCACCAGGGTATCACAGTCAGCATTTACTCTTGTTACACCGCAGATACTTATAGAATGTGGTTTTATTTTTATCAAAATAATTAACCAAAATAAATCGTGTTTCTTGCGGAAAATTGGAATTGCAGCAGCCAACTAGCTGCTAATAAATCGCGAAACAAATAAATTTACTTTAACATTTAAACTTAAATTGTGAAGAAATATATTCACTGTAATTTACTTTAACTTGTAAAGAAATATACTCACTGTAATTTATCAGAATCAGTGTTTTCCAAAATCCACACTCCTCTCTTTTGATCGATAACCCTGACGATAATTAATTAATTAATTAATTGATCAATCAACAACATAATAAAACAATAATGATACATTTTAACCCACATTTCGTTATGGCAGCTTAAGCTGGTGGGAAATTTGTTTAATCTTTTAATGCTGACTGTTGCGGCTGTGATATCGAATATCACGAAGTGGTACCCTAAATTAGACAACTGACAAGGGCACCCTGAAACAAAAATGTACCCTAAATCACACAAGTGTACCCTAAATCACACAAGTGTACCCTAAATCACACAAGTGTACCCTAAATCACACAAATGTACCCTAAATCACACAAGTGTACCCTAAATCACACAATTGTCACTTACTTCCAGGGTAAAGTTGAGTGGCTGAGTGAAGAGAATCTGACGCTTTCTATTATCCCAACATAGTCTTTATATAACTCTCCGGAAGATTTCTTAGCTTTAGATTCGTATTGTTGCTCAAGATTCGCTGAGAGAATCGAGACGTTTTGCAGGAGTAAAATGCTATATGTTTAAATGTACGTAAATTATTATTAACAACTTGCCTCACTCAATAAAGTGATAAATGTAAATCTTAAATCTTTTTTCTTACAAGTAACACTTGAAGTATCGCTCATGTTGGACATGACACTGTTCTGAAATAAAAGGATCTGATTTGTTATCAGTATCATTACCAAAATCATAAACTCAATAACAAGAAATAACCACATTAAACCTTTTATAAATATATTGCTGAAGGAGTTGCATGAACTCTCATCACAACCGTGTTTTAATCGTTACCCAGATAGCAATTTAAAAAAAGGAGAGACCACACTTTTTACAATGAGTGTAAACCTGTCGAGTGGAGAAAGCGAGTTTTCCAACCAGACTCTGGGGAATCTGTTCTCCTTGTATGATTATACTTTGCATTAGCGACTCCTGGAGATTGAACATGGATTAACAGAACTATATATACAGGGTGGGCCAAAAGTCAGTACCCATACGTTGGCCTTTATAGCTCATTCACTGAGTGCCCAATTTAAATACTTCTTTCTGGTATGACTTAGTACCACCACTGGTTCGAGGAATTTGTCAACTCGAAAAATATTTGCGTTCATTTTTTTCAAATGGAGGTTCATTTTCACATTTATTTGATAGTTTGGATAGTCGGATCAAGCTAAATGTTATTGAATTGTGTTTGGCCATAAGAATTAGAACTGTAGCTTCTCAGATGACCGAGATATGAAGTATATATAACGAGTTTATTCATTACGTGTGATCAGGTGATTGGTTTACCTAATCACGTGATAAGGTGCCCCCGTTAAACATTATGGGAATTGTTAAGGGTGCCCAATTGAAGTGTCGTGTCACGGTGTCACATAATCACCCATTCAATTTTGTTAACGAGAGACAGAAAATGCTTGATTACTTCGTCATTTCTAATCCGTTTTGCCTCATGTTTTCAGATCATATGCAACATTTGATAATCTACCGTCTCTGAAAAAATTAGGTGTTCAGCATGTTCAGAGAAAACAATATAGGTGTTTTAATATTGAATGGGCGTGGTCTAAAATATCCGAATTTTCAAATTTTGACGACGGAATCCTCGAACCAGTAAGTAGAGTATGCCATCTGCAAAGCAACAGCTCTCAAATATAAAACACGGCGGAGCTATTAAGGCCAACGTATGGGTACTGACTTTTGGCCCACCCTGTATATATATATTTTTTTAAATCTCAACACTTATTTTACTTCGGACATTCCAACAGCCACATTGTTACACAAGTGTGTAACCAGCCAATTACAGGAAGCCGAAGGATTCAATTATACATTAGGCCAGTGACGGTTAAGGTAGTGTGTACCATACTTTCTTCGCCCGAGACTTAGCTGCAATGGGCAGCTCCTCATTTAACCCTCACACCCGATTTCTCGAGTATTTGGCTGAGTGGACCAGGGGGCTGCATAGACCACTCAGGATCCTTAGCTGAGCGTCGACGACGCTCACCCCACGGCTAGTGACAGAGTCGGGAATCGAACCTGGTACCTTAAGCAATGCCAGGCAGATTAACCAACTGAGCCACTACAACGTGAAAGTATATATACTTTACAATGGTACTTTACATTAATACTAGCTCTGTAGTATATATATATATATACTACAGAGCTAGTATTTATGTAACGTACCATTGTAAAGTTGATAACTGCACAAATTAAATGGATCACGCTCTCTGCACGCTCAGCTAGGTACTACATGGTCTGGTACAGTCGAACAATATTTGAGTATTATATCGCTGGATTAAGAAACACTTTCACTTTAAGTGATCTACAGTTGGAGCCCCTCATTCTCTACCCCCTCCCCCTTATACTTTCCTGAGAGCCCCCTTCTCCCCTCCCCCCCCCCATCCCCCTTCACCCCTTCCCCTCAACTTTCCTGAGAACCCCGAGCACTCTGTTCATCCTCACTACTGTCAACATAAAACACCACTAACGGATCGTCGAGAAGATAAGGTTCCTGAAAATTTTGAGATGAGGCTCCTGAAACATAAGGAGATGACAACATATTGATGTAAGGATGAAAACTTGAGAAGTCACCATTAAACCTTAGAACTTCCAATAACTTTTTCATGATTAAGTTTAGACAAACTTAAAGATTGTAAAATATTGAGATCTGATATTGGTAACTCACAGAGAATGATTTCATGGAGAGCGGAGGTGAGCTGTTGTTGGTAGAGGTAACAACTGATCGAGCTGAAGAAAAAGAGTCACGTCTTTCCATTCCCGTCCATCTGCCACAACCTACAATTTTACTTATCGGCAAATAAAATAGGAAATGGGGAGGGGAAGGGGAGAGGGAGAGGGAAAAGAGGGGGAGAGGAGGGAGGGGCAAGAGGAAAGTGGGAGGGGAAAGAGGGGGATACGAGGGAGGGGCAAGAGGGAGGTGGGAGGTGGGAGGGGAAGAGGGGGAGAGGAGGGAAGTGAGAGGGGGAGGGTAAGAGCGGGAGAGGAGGAAAGTGCAATAGGGAGGTGGGAGGGGGGTAGAGGGAGAGGGGGAGAGAGGGGAGATGAGAGGGGGAGGGGAAGAGGGTAGAGAAGGGAGGGGCAAGAGGGATGTGGGAGGGGAAGGAAAAGAGGGGGAGGGGAGGGAGGGGCAATAGGGAGGTGGGAGGGGGGTAGAGGGAGAGGGGGAGAGAGGGGAGATGAGAGGGGGAGGGGAGGGAGGGGCAAGAGGGATGTGGGAGGGGAAGGAAAAGAGGGGGAGAGGAGCGAGGGGCAAGAGGGAGGTGGGAGGGGAAGGGGAAGAGGGGGGAGGACGGAGGGGCAAAAGGGAGGGACAAGAGAGAGGTGGGAGGGGCAAGAGGGAGGGACAAAAGAGATGTGGGAGGGGAGGGGAAAGTGAAAATGGTAACACAACCTTTGTCCGCGGACAGCAGCACATCGGAATTCGCCCAAACTTATGAAACAAATATGTGCTTTGTCAATAAAGTTCTGACCGATTGAACCGAGTGAAGTAGTAGAAGGTAATCTGATTAGGTTTCTGCTGGAGTCAGAATTTCTGCTATCTCCTGAGTTTTGGCGCGAGAGGCCTACAGTCGAGAGGGAATCGTGTTATAAGCCGTTAAGGAGGGTAACTATAACAACACTTTACCATAACAACACGTTACCATAACAACACGTTACCATAACAACACTTTACCATAACAACACGTTACCATAACAACACGTTCCCATAACAACACGTTCCCATAACAACACGTTACCATAACAACACGTTACCATTACAACACGTTACCATAACAACACGTTACCATAACAACACGTTACCATAACAACACGTTACCATAACAATAAGTTACCATAACAACACGTTACCATAACAATAAGTTACCATAACAACACGTTACCATAACAATAAGTTGCCATAACAACACGTTACCATAACAATAAGTTACCATAACAACACGTTACCATAACAATAAGTTACCATAACAACACGTTACCATAACAATAAGTTACCATAACAACACGTTACCATAACAACACGTTACCATAACAACACGTTACCATAACAACACGTTACCATAACAACACTTTACCATAACAACACGTTACCATAACAATAAGTTACCATAACAACACGTTACCATAACAACACGTTACCACAACAACACGTTACCATAACAACACGTTACCATAACAACACGTTACCATAACAACACGTTACCATAACAACACGTTACCATAACAACACGTTACCATAACCACTCGATAATATAGGAGGGTAACTAAAGTCCGTTAAACCAGCTAATGTGGGATGGTAAATATTGTGATTATAAAATATTTAACCAAATGTGAGATAGCAATTACGCGAGTTAAGCGTTTTCTTTTCTTTTACTCGTTTACTCGAATCTTTTCACAAACATTGCATAACCAAGTAAATAAATCTAATTAATGAAAATGATCAGTTAAACTATCTATTAGCAACTCAAAAGGATATCCCAGAATCACTGAACCCAGGGGAGAGTAGACATTTCTCCAGGACCATCTTGATGTTACCTAGCTGTGTCATTTGCCTCTCCAACGCGAAGTTTACCACAAACATTGGCAGGTCTCCTTTGTAATCAAACTGTAGATGATTGTGCATTTTTAAAAGTTTTAAAGGTGTTTCTGTATTTGGGTATAGAATAATGAAATGAAATAGTGTGCTTATATCCCGCCCATATGGACAGCAGCAGGCACAAGTGCTAGCAGTAGCTACTAACCATTTCAGTGCGGCTCTAAAGGGCGACAATATGAAAATGAAAATTTGGAAAATAATTTTAATTACTTTAAATTTAAGATCGTGTCCTCACAACAAATATTACCACTTTTGATATAATAGCGTCTATTCAAATCAAAAGAAAAAAGAGTGGAGGACATTGCTGCCGTTCCCTGAGAAAACGCATTAAGTCCATTTTTTGGAAATTTTGAGATATTGGTACCAAAATTTTCAGGAGAAGATTCTCTACAACTTAAGCTATGAATCAAGTTATCAAAATACTGTTTTAGCTGCCGCGAAAGGCATTAAGTCACACAAAACGTGAATATTTAGCTCGTTATCCCAAAACCTTCCCTGAGAAAAGGCATTAAGTCCATTTGTAATGCCTTCTCTGAGGGAACTTTTTCTGTTCCTTGAGATTCCCTGAGAAAAGGCATTAAGTCCAGACTTTATTTGCAGTTTTTATAGTTTTTGGCCTATAACTTCCACAGTTTTAGTTATATCGAAACAATTTTTATGCGGTCGTAATCAGCTCAGCAAGCAAACAATTTTGGTACTAATATTTCAAAATTTAAAGAAATATTATTTTCAAAATTTTTGAACCTGTGTGAATTATTGAAACTTTTTTTGAAAAATTTGGTGCTTTAAATATTGTATGTTTAAATATTTTTACCCAAATTAATGCGTCTGACCGAGCTGAATACGATGCTGTAAAAATTATTCCAAAATATTTGATGTTTAAGAAGTTATAGGCATTTTGAACGAAAAATTATCCATTTTTCGTCAATATTACTTACTTGCAATGCACAGGAGGCCCACATAATTATATTGCAAAGATATGATCAAAAATATAGAAATGTTGTATTTTCTGTGTTGACTTTATCTGAGAAAAAATGGACTTACTGCCTTTCTAGAGAGGAATCGGTTGAAATCGATCCTGATAAAAGGCATTAAGTCCGCAATTCCCTCAGAAAAGGCATTAAGTCCAATGCGGATGGGAAAATAGTTCAGTTATTCTGGAGGAAAATGGTTTTTGTAGATCAGTGTTGGTGAATTTATGCTTTTAAGCATGTTTAGGACATATGACAATAATTTATTTACAAATAGATGTCAAAATTAACCCCGTTTATGCGAATAAAATTACTTAAAAAACGACGAACACGTTTGTCCCATTTTCTCAAAATGACATCGATGTGACTTAATGCGTTTTCTCAGGGAACGGCAGATTGGCCAACGTATACCAGAAGCCGGCCACTCGAATGATTGAGCTAGGAGACTGTTACAACTACAAATAAGTACAAATCTTCCTTGGTATTTAAATGTAAGATGACTAGTCACAATAGTATAGAAGCTGCGGGGGAGTGATTAAAATTATATTTGATAAATATGAACACAGTGCCTCTTCCTAAATCTCAAACTGAAGGGTGTTCATAGGTTAACCTGAAATATGTAGAAAACGTCAGAACAAGGTTTCCCCTCTTTGTCAAATCCTGGTTTTATGACAAACCCACTGTAGTGTACCTGGTAAAATGTTGAAATGGTAACGCGTTGTTATGGTAACGTGTTGTTATGGTAACGCGTTGTTATGGTAACGCGTTGTTATGGTAACGTGTTGTTATGGTAACGTGTTGTTATGATAACGTGTTGTTTTGGTAACGCGTTGTTATGGTAACGCGTTGTTATGGTAACGCGTTTTTATGGTAACGTGTTGTTATGGTAACGTGTTGTTATGGTAACGTGTTGTTTTGGTAACGTGTTGTTATGGTAACGTGTTGTTATGGTAACGTGTTGTTATGGTAACGTGTTGTTATAGTAACGTGTTATTTGGGTAACGTTTTGGTATAGTAACGTGTTGTTATGGAACGTGCTGTTATGGTAACGTGTTGTTATGGTAACGTGTTGTTATGGTAACGTGTTGTTATGGTAACGTGTTGTTATGTTAACGTGTTGTTATGGTAACGTGTTGTTATGGTAACGTGTTGTTATGGAACGTGCTGTTATGGTAACGTGTTGTTATGGTAATGTGTTGTTATGGTAACGCGTTGTTATGGTAACGTGCTGTTATGGTAACGTGTTTTTATGGTAACGTGTTGTTATGGTAACGTGTTGTTATGGTAACGTGTTGTTATGGTAACCTGGTGAAATACTTTGTAAGTTATTGATAAAGGATAAAGTAGAGACCATAGTAAGCACAAATAACATCTCAGATCTAGTTAACTCTTTTTGCGAGAGAACACCTAGAAACTAGACCCCCCCCTTCCCCCCTCCCCCCCCCCCCCCCCCCCTTCCCCCCCCCCCCCCCCCCCCCCCCCCCCCCTTCCCCCCGAACTTTTTGAAATTATTTGAAATCATTACCCAGATGGTGGGAACCCCTGTCTCTACTATCATGTTTTTGTGGGTAGGAACTGAACAGTAACCTGTTATAAACGTATCCCCCTGAAATACATTTTGTTAATTTACACAACTCTTCGCATTTTTAAATGCAGAGAGAAATAAAATTAGAAGAAAGCAAGGTATCAAATGCATTTTCTAAAGAGATGACTCAATCAAACCTGACTTAATTCAGAAAGGGAAGAATTATTTTTAAAAGGATTACCTCTTTTCTGTGCGCTGCTACGTTGCAAATACAAACATTGTAGTTGACAAGACACTTTTTTGTTTGAAACACCGTATAATCTGTGGGAAATATTCTTCAAGCAAAATAAATTGTTTGGTATTTTCTCCATTACAGGCTTTAAATAAATTATACAATTTAATTGGGGGAGGGGGTAGTCATGTGGCTCATGTCGGATACCCTCTTTATAACTTACAAATCTTTATGTATTGGTTCACAGTCTGGAGCAGTTTCGTTTCCTGAAATATCCCGATATGTATGAGCATATATATTAATATCTAACACCATTGGGGTGTTACTAATTACTAAGGGGGGACAAATCACTTATGACTTAATGAGTACCGATAATGAATACCCATAATAAGTATATACCCGGGCATACCATAACAACACATTACCATAACAACACGTTACCATAACAACACGTTACCATAACAACACGTTTACATAACAACACGTTAACATAACAACACGTTACCATAACATCACGTTAACATAACAACACGTTAACATAACAACACGTTACCATAACAACACGTTACTATAACAACACGTTAACATAACAACACGTTACGTCGTTACCATAACAACACGTTACCATAACAACACGTTACCATAACAACACGTTAACATAACAACACGTTTACATAACAACACGTTACCATAACAACACGTTACCATAACAACACGTTACCATAACAACCATGTATGTATCTATAATATGACCACTGTACCTTGAGAGAGTTATCATAGTAGAACCTAGTTTGTGGGTTGGTGAGATAAGCATCCAGATAAGAAGGCTGACAGTCTATCTGTATTCTGCCCAACATACAGGGTGTGTTTGATTGGAAGTCACTGGCTGTCTTGTACACAGTCACACCTTTCTTAATGCCCCCGTACCTGGTGGGGCAGTAGTAATATTAACATTAACCCATTAGGGACAATCCCCTTTACTTGTAGTAAAGTAGTAAAGTAAGTGTAATATTAACAAATATCTTACAGAGGAGAGATAAAGATACTTTTTCAGGGTCATTAGTACAAATTGATTAAAATTGTATCTGGTAATATGGGCCAATTTTCAAACCAAATATTATAAAGCACAAGCCTCTTGGTCACACAAGACAAAGCAAACTTCTACAAATACGAATAATAACACACTTCCATTTGCCGACATCTGATGTCTGCTCTGATGTCTGCTCTGTGGTTTGCTCTGTGGTTTGGTCTGTGGTTTGGTCTGTGACGAGGTTGTTACAGAATCCCTCCACCTCACTGTACAGGTACCCAGTTAACTGGTTCGCTGTGGAAGTGTAGCTGATGTCTTCTACTGTGGAGGTACTGGTCTGTGAGCTGCTTCTCTGGTATTGTGACGTCATGGCTAGATAACGGCTAGTTACTGTGACGTCATGGCTAGATAACGGTTAGTTACTGTGACGTCATGGCTAGATAACGGATAGTTACTGTGACGTCATCGCTAGATAACGGATAGCTACTGTGACGTCATCACTAGATAACGGATAATTACTGTGACGTCATGGCTAGATAACGGTTAGTTACTGTGACGTCATGGCTAGATAACGGCTAGTTACTGTGACGTCATGGCTAGATAACGGCTAGTTACTGTGACGTCATCACTAGATAACGGATAGTTACTGTGACGTCATCACTAGATAACGGATAGTTACTGTGACGTCATCGCTAGATAACGGATAGCTACTGTGACGTCATCACTAGATAACGGATAATTACTGTGACGTCATGGCTAGATAACGGCTAGTTACTAAGCCATGACGTAACTAGCATAATAGTATAATAATTACAGAAAACCTTTTTTAGTCAAGCCTATAATATAATTATAGCTGAGCACATCCTGATACACTATTTTGAAGGCATGCTGAAGATGTGAATTGTGATGGGTATTTTTTTCTGTCACGTGACAACAATTAACCAATCAGCAACAACAATTGGCGAATCACACCCAAGAAACAAAACACTGCCATGTCTCAATCAAAGCAATATGCCTCACCTCCCCAGTCCTCACCACAGCCCACATATCATTATTTAACGAATTGTGGAACCAGGTACATGACGAGTGACGACACAAAGCAAACCCTAGCTCGAATATCACGTACAGGATATGACAATGTAAAAGTGGGAGGTGAAGGCTAACAGCTCTTATTTAAAGATTTAAGAAAATGTGAAGGTTTTGAGGTAAACAAACCCCAACTTAACGGTCAGTATGGGAAATTTAAAATAGTACGGTAAATCGGGGTACACGGTAAATGTGGTGCACGGTAAATTGGGGTACACGGTAAATCGGAGTACACGGTGAATGGGGATGCCCGGAAATTCATGATGTACGGTAAATCACATGGGTTTATTTCTTTCAGTCAGGAATGTCAAGGATTTTAATAGACTGGTATAAATAGTATTTAAAGAAAATAATAGAACAAGCTTTAAAGCATTAACAAAACATCAGCTGTTATCTGAAACACAATGTCACTTAACTAACACAGCTGAACTGTTCCCCGGTAACCTGAGCAGCATAATCCGGTTATTTTACTGATAAAATGCTTGTCTGTGTGGTTATCACTGTTTTATTTGTCGTCATATGTGGCACACAAATATGTGAATATTAGTATGTGTGCCATATATTTGTTTTAATTCATGAGGCTACGCAAAAATGAAAAGGTTGGTCACCAAATTACTAGTGGAACCTATTTGGTTACTCGGTTACTTAATACTTATGGTAGTGCAGGTTACTCGGTTACTTATGGTAGTGGTTACTATACTTGTGACAGTGGTTACTAATGGTTACTCGAGACAGTGGTTACTCATGGTTACTTGTGACGGTGGTTACTAATGGTTGCTTGTGACAGTGGTTACTAATAGTTACTCGTGACAGTGGTTACTAATGGTTACTCGTGACAGTGGTTACTAATGTTTACTCGTGACAGTGGTTACTCATGATTACTCGTGACAGTGGTATATTGCAAGTCTGAAAGCGTAAACACACTTTTTCGAAAACTTAGTCTGCTGTAAGTTTCTAAGATACTTCAGAAGCTAGCGATAAATCATATTATACTAGCAGGAACCCGTATAACCCTAAAATGGTGTCAAGACTCAAGAGACTAAAATAATTATTACCTATTTAATTCGCGTTTTTGACACCACTTGGGGGTCCAAATTTTGGGCTCTAAAATTCCTATTCCTTGGCCGATTTTTTATTTTTTCATGCTGATTTGGAGGCCATTAAAGCATTTGACCCAGTCAAAAAAGTTTCAGTTGTATATCTTTTACGGTTTTTGCAGAAAGTCGCGTTAAAGTTGATGCCGTGGTGTCAGTAAAATGGCACGGATAAACACATATATATCGTCTCGCTTTATATATAGTAAGATAGTAAAGGAATATTTATGTAAATTTAAGTTATTTCAAAATTATGTTTATTTTCATTGGCAATGTTCTAAGTTTGGATAACGCAACAAATTCTTTTCGTTACAATCTGGATACAAATCAGCACCAATATCAACGCTATACAATAACTATAAGAGTGTAAGCTGTTGCTATGGTAACTAGTACTACACTGTTGCTAAGCAACCGGGTTGCTTGTGCTACAGTAATCTAGTAATGTAATTACCTACTATAGTACTACCTAGCTATTTCTGATACGCGGCAAAACTTTCTAGCGATCATATATCATTTTAGAAATCAACTTCTGTACTCATATAGTTCATACTTTATCTTAGTAGAACACAATGCCCACTCAATACCTAAGATATTTTCCGTTGATCAGGAATAAAAGAAAAAGGATACTCTACTCAAGTCTCAATTCCAGAATGTAAGATAATTTCAAGCTTTATAACTTTACAATGTGATATTATACAGGGTGTATACCACAGAAAGTGTGACTTTTTTGAGAAATGATACAAAATATTATGAAAGGAGCAGTTGCTGCATATGCATTTAAACACTCTTACATTACTCGAGAAGATTAACACCAGCATAGAAAAATACATCCTCCAAACTTGAGAGAAAGGAAATTTGGAGATTTTATTTCGCATCATGTTATTCCGGCCCTATTATTACCTGGGGACCCCATGCTATTATATAATTTTCATAAATATAATATAGAGGTTCGTCGGAATGACTGTTTCCGTATACGTGGAATTTGAATAAATTTGGGGGCCGATCAGAATTTAAAATATGACAAACTCTAATCTGGTGAACAATCAATATTTTATTTCAAAATTACCATCTGCGCTCGATAACTTTCCCAACAGTTGCTCTAAATTTACGTTAGTTCCACTAGTTCACTGTCTATTGTATCTTTGTCCAGTGTCTAATGATCAGTTCACCTCACTGAATCTCATCCTACACCTGTAATAACGGTGCAACATGCGTTCTCATATGGATGGTCCCCGCCAATAACACGTGACACTAGCACGTGACCCCCCTAATAACACGTGACAATAGCACGTGACCCGCTAATAACACGTGACAATAGCACGTGACCCCGCTAATAACACGTGACAATAGCACGTGACCCCGCTAATAACACGTGACACTCGTCCCTCACCTTGCTGCTGTTCATCCACATATTGGGCCCTCTTTCTGTTGAATGATAGAAATATAGAAACATAGGTGCTGGCATTTTGATTCGAATGGCTAGTTTATATTTAAATTCTCCTTATTCGTAATTATTTTTCATTTGTTGTATTATTTGCATCGCATAAGTTCTGAATTCTCATTATTTTCACCTTTTAAATTTCTGTAATCTATGATTCTATAGGGCCCGCTCTATTAACAAGCGTGAATATAGTTTGCATGTAGGACGGTTTCTGCATTGTTGCTATGGTTACTTCATTGTTGTTATGGTAATTGGTAACTACGCATTATGCACCTAATGGTATTAGTTATAAAGGAGTATCCCATATTTGAGTGACAATACCAAATATAGTCACATTGTCCACAGCTTTGCACGTGGTTCAACTTTCTCGTGAGATGGACTAATTATTATCAAGTAAAAATACGTTCCTTTTAATAACGTTCATTATTCATAGGTTATGGCATGCTAGTTCGGAAAACTCTAGTAGCCCACAGTTTGTTCTGGATTCTAGGACAAGTTTGTGCGTCTACCTCTAATTACCCTTCAGTACCGGCCCTCCGTAAGTTAGACGATTCTATGTTTAACAGAATAATAAGTATAGTATGTAGATTGATTTACTTATAGTTACATACCTCATTGATGAAAGTTCAATTATTTGATTTAATTATAAACACTTATATCTGAAGAATTAACGGTAATTAATTTGTGTTCAGTGCGTGCTACATTTCAATCGGCTGTATCGTGTATCTTCGGTCGGGATGGATATTTTTTGATGCGATTAAAACTTTCCTTCAAAAGTCCAAAGAATACTATTAGCTTCATCCCTGTCAGTGTTACCACGGGCTTTCTAGTCTATATTATAATTCGAAAGATTATGTTTGTTTGTATGTACGCACGCCATGTCCAGCTGAAAAAGGGGTAGCCTCTGGAGCAGGAACACAAGAAAGTGACTGCACATGGAGTAAGTTGTTGTTTCTTAAAAATTGGAGGGACCGAAGGGGTTCATCCTGAAATTTATGTTAATCTTAGAAATGCAATAATGTGTGCGAATAAACATAGACTGAAATACTGACGTCAACAAGCAAAGTTTAGTATTTGTACAATAATTGGTATAACTATACGTTTATGAGGTCCCATCACAGATGCTCGAAAGGAATTCCTGTGAATGAAATGCAACTATTGTATGTGAACACCACCCGCACACACTTTGACACTTATCCAATATTCAAATAAAAGCGAACCATCCCTAAAAGGGTACTTCGAATCTTAAGCTGCGTGCCAGCGGCTGAAACTTGCAACTAATACAGTAATACTTGACTAAACTTGACTATACTTGCAGAAGATTGTGTTGCGGGCGAGTATCTGAATCCGTCAACTGGCTGTATAGCCTGTCCGGCAGATACATGGAGTGCTGCAGCAAACTCCGCTACTACCTGCACGCCATGTCCAGCTGAAAAAGGGGTAGCCTCTGGAGCAGGAACACAAGAAAGTGACTGCACATGGAGTAAGTTGTTGTTTCTTAAAAATTGGAGGGACCGAAGGGGTTCATCCTGAAATTTATGTTAATCTTAGAAATGCAATAATGTGTGCGAATAAACATAGACTGAAATACTGACGTCAACAAGCAAAGTTTAGTATTTGTACAATAATTGGTATAACTATACGTTTATGAGGTCCCATCACAGATGCTCGAAAGGAATTCCTGTGAATGAAATGCAACTATTGTATGTGAACACCACCCGCACACACTTTGACACTTATCCAATATTCAAATAAAAGCGAACCATCCCTAAAAGGGTACTTCGAATCTTAAAGAGATCATGAAGTGTAAATTTGCGAATTCTTCAAAAATACTCGAAACTTGGGTAGTGAGCTAGGCTTAGTAATTCTGCTGCAATCCCAAAATAGCTCCGTCGTAATTGCTTCACAAGCTGAGATAATATGGGGTATATCAATTACATTTTTCCAAGTTGTGGCTAGGTGACGGGATAGCATATACGACATGTGTAAAAAAGCCTGATTTTAATTGTCCATAACAAGTTTTCTGTTGGTTTTTTTGTTGAACCGACAAGATTACCATCAGGTATAAACCATTATATTTCACATATCTTCCTAAATTTGGTGTACAGCGATTAATCTAGTTCCTACAAGCAATTAAAGACAGCTCACTTCATGGAATTTGAATGTAGCACGATCAGTGTTCAATTTGTTTACTTTCGTTCTGTACGGTCTTTGTATTTTAAAGCTTGCAAATGTGTGCTTTCTTGAATAACGTGTAATGTGTAGACACGAACCTAACATATGTATCCGTAGTCTGTACCCCGTAGATAAAAGTTTTATCTTCCAATTAAAGAATTAATAACTAAGTCAGAGCTGTTACAAATTTTCGCGTTTGTTGTCGACTGCGGCACGTGTTATCACTGCAACAACTCTTTACTAGTTAAAATTTATCAAAAGACGGTTGATGGTAAGACATTGTGCAGTCGGAGGTTGTAACAACCGTGAGGGAAGAGACACCAGTAGTAGGAGAAGCTTTCTGGTTTTTCATATGGTCTTATCTGAACAAGGGCTTAGATATTCAAGATACCTGTTTAGTTTCACCATCAATGATGCTGTAAAACGGGTAGACTATCTAAAAGCACATTTGACACCAAAAAAGTGGAGATATTTAGCCTACAAATCATTTGTGAATTTGATAAGCTCCCAAGATTTGGATAGAAAGGTTCGATACGTACTTCCATCATGTGTTGTGTCGGCGATCCGAGAAAAGTTTCCAAACACAGATGGATCAAGATATACGGGTTTTATCAGTATCGGAACTGATGATGGACATATTTTGCCATGAAGTTAACAAGTAAATGTGTGTATCCAGAAAAAATATTTATAATTTAAGGTTAGTTTAAGTAATAGGTTCTTACAAACGTGTATTGTTATTTAGTGTTTGGTAATTGAATGTTTTTCTTCCTACAACATAACACAGCAGTACGTACACTTATAAGACAATTATTTGATGCTTGTGTATATTATGCACATTATTCAACCACAATTTTCGAAAGATAAAAGTCAAATCTATCAAGTGTCGTTAATTTGAAGATTTTATCAATTAAATTGGCGCCACAGCACATGAATAAAAATGTGCGTTTTAACACTGTTTTTATTGCGGTGTCTGACAGTTAGCCACAATCCAACAAATTCGGGCGATCTTCCTGTATCGATTTCACGCGACATAATTAAGTTACGAATCTGGGAATTCCGAGCCCTATTGTTATATTAGTGTTTCTATGTGATAGTATATGTGAAATGTTTTGACGATTAGCGGCTGAAACTTGCAACTAATACAGTAATACTTGACTAAACTTGACTATACTTGCAAAAGATTGTGTTGCGGGCGAGTATCTTGATCCGTATACTGGCTGTATAGCCTGTCCGGCAGATACATGGAGTGCTGCAGCAAACTCCGCTACTACCTGCACGCCATGTCCAGCTGAAAAAGGGGTAGCCTCTGGAGCAGGAACGCAAGAAAGTGACTGCACATGGAGTAAGTTGTTGTTTCCTAAAAATTGGAGGGACCGAAGGGGTTCATCCTGAAATTTATGTTAATCTTAGAAATGCAATAATGTGTGCGAATAAACATAGACTGAAATAGTGAAGTCAACAAGCAAAGTTTAGTATTTGTACAATAATTGGTATTACAATAAGTTTATGAGGTCCCATCACAGATGCTCGAAAGGAATTCCTGTGAATGAAATGCAACTATTGTATGTGAACACCACCCGCACACACTTTGACACTTATCCAATATTCAAATAAAAGCGAACCATCCCTAAAAGGGTACTTCGAATCTTAAGCTGCTTGCCAACGGCTGAAACTTGCAACTAATACTTGATTAAACTCGACTATACTTGCAGAAGATTGTGTTGCAGGCGAGTATCTGAATCCGTCAACTGGCTGTATAGCCTGTCCAGCAGATCAATGGAGTGCTGCAGCAAACTCAGCTTCTACCTGCACGCCATGTCCAGCTGAAAAAGGGGTAGCCTCTGGAGCAGGAACACAAGAAAGTGACTGCACATGGAGTAAGTTGTTGTTTCCTAAAAATTGGAGGGACCGAAGGGGTTCATCCGTGAAATTTATGTTAATCTTAGAAATGCAATAATGTGTGCGAATAAACATAGACTGAAATAGTGAAGTCAACAAGCAAAGTTTAGTATTTGTACAATAATTGGTATTACAATAAGGTTATGAGGTCCCATCACAGATGCTCGAAAGGAATTCCTGTGAATGAAATGCAACTATTGTATGTGAACACCACCCGCACACACTTTGACACTTATCCAATATTTAAATAAAAGCGAACCATCCCTAAAAGGGTACTTCGAATCTTAAGCTGCTTGCCAGCGGCTGAAACTTGCAACTAATACTAGACTAAACTCGACTATACTTGCAGAAGATTGTGTTGCGGGCGAGTATCTGAATTCGTCAACTGGCTGTATAGCCTGTCCGGCACATCAATGGAGTGCTGCAGCAAACTCAGCTTCTACCTGCACGCCATGTCCAGCTGAAAAAGGGGTAGCCTCTGGAGCAGGAACACAAGAAAGTGACTGCACATGGAGTAAGTTGTTGTTTCCTAAAAATTGGAGGGACCGAAGGGGTTCATCCTGAAATTTATGTTAATCTTAGAAATGCAATAATGTGTGCGAATAAACATAGACTGAAATACTGACGTCAACAAGCAAAGTTTAGTATTTGTACAATAATTGGTATTACAATAAGTTTATGAGGTCCCATCACAGATGCTCGAAAGGAATTCCTGTGAATGAAATGCAACTATTGTATGTGAACACCACCCGCACACACTTTGACACTTATCCAATATTCAAATAAAAGCGAACCATCCCTAAAAGGGTACTTCGAATTTTAAGCTGCTTGCCAGCGGCTGAAACTTGCAACTAATACTAGACTAAACTCGACTATACTTGCAGAAGATTGTGTTGCGGGCGAGTATCTGAATCCGTCAACTGGCTGTATAGCCTGTCCGGCAGATCAATGGAGTGCTGCAGCAAACTCAGCTTCTACCTGCACGCCATGTCCAGCTGAAAAAGGGGTAGCCTCTGGAGCAGGAACACAAGAAAGTGACTGCACATGGAGATAAGTTGTTGTTTCCTAAAAATTGGAGGGACCGAAGGAGTTCATCCTGAAATTTATGTTAATCTTACGAAATGCAATAATGTGTGCGAAATAAAGCATAGACTGAAATACTGAAGGTCCAACAAGCAAAAAATCTTAGTATTTGTACAATAATTGGTATTACTATACGTTTAAGAGGTCCCATCACAGATGCTCGAAAGGAATTCCTGTGAATGAAATGCAACTATTGTATGTGAACACGACCCGCACACATTTTGACACTTATCCAATATTTAAATAAAAGCGAACCATCCCTAAAAGGGTACTTCGAATCTTAAGCTGCTTGCCAAGCGGCTGAAACTTGCAACTAATACTTGATAAACTCGACTATACTTGCAGAAGATTGTGTTGCAGGGCGAGTATCTAGATCCGTCAACATGGGCTGTATAGCCTGTCCCAGCGATCAAAGGAGTGCTGCAGCAAAACTCAGCTTCTACCTGCACGCCATGTCCAGCTGAAAAAGGGGTAGCCTCTGGGAGCAGGAACACAAGAAAGTGACTGCCACATGGACGTAAGGTTGTTGTTTCCTAAAAATTGGAGGACCCGAACGGGGTTCTTCCTAAAAATTTTTTAAAAATTTAGAAATGAAAATAATGTTGCAAATAAACCTCCCCTAAAAGAAGTCAAAACCCCAAAAGTTGTTTTGTAAAATAATTGGTATTACAAAAAATTTTTGAGGTCCCATACGTTTTCAAAGGAAATTTCCCTGGAAATGAAATGCAACTTTGTATTTAAACCCACCCCACCCCATTTTGACAATTATCCAATATTTAAAAAAAAAAGCGAACCACCCCCAAAAAGGGTACTTCGAACTTAAGTGCTTGCCGGGGGCTGAAACTTTGAAACCTAATACTAGCTAAATCGTAAAACTTGCAGAAGTTTGTTGCGGCGAGATTAAATCCGCAACTCGTATACCTGCCCCAATCAATGGGGTGCACAAATCGCTTCTCCTGCAGAAAATCCAGCTAAAAAAAGGGTAGCCTCTGGACAAAACCCCAAAGTGACTGCACAGGGAAGTTTTTTTTCCTAAAAATTGGGAGGCCCCGAAGGGGGTTCATCCTAAAATTTTTTGTTTTTAAGAAAAATGCAAATTGTGCGAAAATAAACTGACTAAAAATTTAAGTAACAAGAAAAGTTTGTTTTTGACAAAAATTGGATTTCAATTTATAGGTCCCCTCACAGATGCCGAAAAGGAATTCCTGTGAAAAAAATAACCAAAGTTTGAACACCCCCCCCAACTTTGAACTTACCCAATTTTTAAAAAAAAGCGACCATCCCTAAAAGGGTATTTCAAAATTTAAAGCGCTTGCACGGTGAAACTTAAAAACAAATACTAGACTAAATGCTATACTTGCAAAAAGATTGTTTGCGGGGGGTACTTTAATCCGTCAAGGCTTAACCTGTCCGAAAGATCAAGGGGAGTGCTGCAGCAAATGGGCTTTCCGCACCCATGTCCAGCTAAAAAAGGGGTACCTTGGGCGGGGAACCAAGAAATTGTGAAATGGAAAAATTGTTTTTTCCTAAAAAATTGGGGGACCAAAGGGGGTTTTATCCGAAATTTATGAAAATCTTAGAAATGCAATATGTTGCGAATAAAAAGACTGAAAATGGTAAACAAAAAAAGGTTTAATTTGTAAAAAATTGGTATTACAATAAGTTTTGGGCCCCATCACAGATTCAAAAGGGAAATTCCCCGGAAATAAAAATCAACTATTGAATGTGAACACCACCCGACACCTTTGACATTATCCAATATTAAAAAAAGCGAACCATCCCAAAGGGGTTTTTCGAATTAAAGCTGTGCCGGGCTGAAATTTGACTAATCTAAAAAAAAGCACATACTTGAGACGATTGGGTGTTGCGGGGCGAGTATTGAATCCTCAACGGGCGTATAGTTCCGGCCTTCAATGGGGTGCTGCAGCAAATCGCTTCTACCTGCCCCCATGTCCGCGAAAAAGGGGGTGCCTCTGGGCAGGAACACAAAAATGACCTCCCAATGGGTAATTTTTTGTTTCCTAAAAATTGGGGGGGGACCAAGGGGTATCTGAAAAATGTTAAATTTTTAAGAAATGCAAAAGTGTGCGCAAAAAAACATAAAGAAATATTAATAAAAGCAAATTTAGTATTTGACAATAAATTGGTTTACAAAAAATTTTTAAAGGGGGTCCCATCACAGAGCTCAAAAGAATTTCCCGTGAATGAAATGCACTTTGATTGGAAACCCCACCCGCACAATTGAAACTTATCCAAATATTTAAAAAAAAAACGAACCTCCCAAAAGGGGACTTCGAATTTTTAAAAGCTGCTGCCGGGCTGAAACTTGCAACAAATACTAGACTAAAACTCGCTTACTTGAAGAAGATTGGTTGCGGGGAGTTCTGAACCTTTAAAACGGGCTGTTTTCCCGCCCGGGCAATCAATGGATCTGCAGAAAACCCCTTCTACCTGCACGCCTTCCAGCTGAAAAGGGGGGGTACCTCTGGGAAGGAACAAAAGAATTGACTCACATGGGTTATTGTTTTGTTTCCTAAAATTTTGGGGACCGAAGGGGTTCACCTGAAATTTATTTAATTTTAAAATGAAATAATGTGTGCGAAAAAACAAAGATAAAATTCTGAAGTAAAAAGCAAAATTTGTTTTGAAAATAATTGGTTTTTTCAAAAATTTTATAACCCTCAAAGCCCGAAAAAATTTTTTGTGAATGAAAGCAATTTTTATGTAAACACACCCGCCCCAATTTTTGAACTTACCAAAATTTTTAAATAAAGGAACCATCCCAAAAAAGGGTATTCGAATTTAACTGTTGCCGCGGCTGAAACTGCAACTAATATAGACTAAACTCACATATTTGCAAAAGAGTTTTGGGGGGGTTTTGAATCCAAAACGGCTTATACCGTCCGGCAATCAATGGAGTGCTGCACAAACTCCTCCCTGCCCAGTCCAGCGAAAAAAAGGGGCTTAGCGGCCCCCAAAAATTTTGATCACAAGGAGTAATTTTTTGTTTCCAAAAAAAAGGAGGACCGAAGGGGGTTTCCCCCGTTTTTTAAATCTTTAGAAATCCCAAATTGGGGAAAAAACCCGACTGAAAACTGCGTCAACAAGCAAATTTTAGTTTTGTACAAAAATTGGTATTACAAAATTTTATGAGGCCCCCACACAGATGCTCGAAAGGTTTTTCCTGTGAAGAATGCAACTTTTGATGTGAACCCACCCCCCCGCACCTTTGACACTATCCAATATTCAAAAAAAAAGCAAAACCACCCCCAAAGGGTATTCGAATTTTAAGCCTTCCGCGGCTGAAACTTGCAACTATAAGACAAATGACTTACTTGCGAAATTTGGTTGGGGGCAGATCTGAATCCGTCAACTGTTGTTTTTTCCCGGGCAATAAGGAGTGCTGCAGCAAATCATTCTCCCTCACCCATGTCCACTAAAAAAAAAGGGGGGGTTCCTCGGACGGGAACCAAAAATGCCCCGCACAGGGTTTAGTTTTGTTTCCTAAAAAATTGGAGGGCCCGAAGGGGTTTTCCTGAAATTTTTGTTAATCTTAAAAGAAATTTTTTGTGGCGAAAACATGACTGAAAACTGAATCAACAACAAAATTTGTTTTGTACAATAATTGGGTATTATATATTTTTAAGGGCCCCATCACAGTGCCGAAAGGAATTCCTGTAAGAAATGCAATATTGTAGTGAAACACGACCCCACACATTTTGACCCTTTCCAATATTTAAATAAAAGCAAACCACCCAAAAAGGGTATTTGGAATCTTAAGCGCTTGCCAGCGGGCAAAAACTTGAAAAATACTAGACAAAATCGATTATTGCAAAAAGTTTTTTGTTGGGGGCGAGTATTAAATTTTGTTCAACGGGCTGTATAGCCGTCCGGACATCAATGGAGTGCTGCAGAAAACTCCTTTCCTCACGCTTTGTCCAGCTGAAAAAGGGGGTACCCTGGAGCAGGAACACAAGAAAATGATGCACGGGGAATAAGTTGTGTTTCCAAAAAATTTGGAGGGACCAAAGGGGGTTCACCCTAAAAATTTTTTTTAAAATTTTTTAAAAATGCAATAAGTGGCAAAAAACCCCTAGACTAAAAAATACTGACGTCAACAAGCAAGTTTAGTTTTTGTAAAATAATTGGTTTACAATAAGTTTAAAGGGGTCCTCACAGATGCTGAAAGGAATTTGGGTTAAAAATGCAAATTTTTTTATTGTAAAACCCCACCCGACCACTTTGACACTATCCAATTTTTCAATAAAAAGCGAACCAACCCTAAAAGGGGGTACTTCGATTTTAAGCTGCTTGCCCGGCTGAAACTTGCAACAAAATACTGACTAAACTGACATCTTGAGAAGTTTGTGTTGGGGCGAGTTCTGAATCCTTTTCAATGGCTGTAATTCCCAGATCAAGGAGTGCTGCAGCAAACCAGCTTTCGCACCCATTCCCACTAAAAAGGGGGTGGGGCCCTCGGGCAAACACAAAAAGTGAGAATGGGGGGTAAGTTGTTTTTCCTAAAAAATTGGGGGGCCCGGGGGGTTCACCCTGAAAAATTTATTTAATTTTTAGAAACAATAATTTTGGCAATAAAATAGACGAAATACTAACAACAAGAAAAAATTTTATTTTTGTAAAAATTTGGGTATTACTAACTTTTAAAGGTCCTCAAGATGCCGAAAAAAAATTTTGTGAATGAAAAGCAACTTTTGTAGGTGAACACACCCCCCACCTTTTTTGCCACTTATCCAAATTTATAAAAAAAGCGAACCACCCCCTAAAAAGGGTATTCAAATCTTAACTGTTTGCCACGGCTGAAATTTGCAACAATACTGTTTTAAACCCGGGAATATTTCAAAGATTGTTTTGGGGGTTTTTTGAACCCGTCAATGCTGTAACCCTGTCCGGCAATCAATATTGAGCAAATCAGCTTCTACCGCACCATGTCCCTGAAAAA